TGCGTTCACACTCTGCCGCTGCTGCTGCTGCTGCTGCGCAGGTTTCGGTGGGAGACAAAGTTGTTTACTCCTCTTATCTCGAAGAGTCTTCGCAGCTGAAAATCGGCGAAGACACTTTTGCCTTCATCAGAGCTGCTGATATTGCTGCCAAGTGGTAGCAGCGAAGCGCCCGCGGCGCTTGCTGCTGCCGCTGCATGCCATTTGCTGCTGCTGTACCTCTAGCTGCTGCTGCTGTAGCTCCAGCTGCTGCTGCAGAGTCTGCAGCAGCGACAGGAGCAGTTGATTCAGCAGCTGCGGCGGCTGCAGCTGCTGCTGCAGCAGCTGCAACTGCTGCAGCAGCAGGTGCTGCAGCATGTGCAGCAGCAGCTGTGTCTCCCACTTCCTCCGAAATGATAACATAGCCAGCAGCAACATTAAGGCGAGGCCCCCTGAGGGGCCCCCACAGCAACGGGAGAGTTCCTGCTGCTTTGGGGGCCCCCGTTTAGGCTCTGGGGGCCCCCGTGGCACCTGGGGTATAGGACTGACTGGCTTTGCTGCTTGAGTTGTTTTGTCTGCTGCTTCTAGGGCTAGAATTAGGTACTAGCTGCTGCTGCAGCAGCTGTTTAGTGCACTTGGTCTGTGTACTGCTGCTGCTGCAGCGGTAAGGCAGGTTTCCTTTAGCTTGCTGCAGTTCTTACTTACCTGCATACAGAGGAGTAGGGGGTCCTGGTGGCGGCTGTTTGTGCTGCTTTTCTGGGTGTTTACTTCATGGCTTTTTGAAATTAATTAATTATAAACGGGAAAATGAAAAACTGCTTTTATGGAGCTATTTATTAGGGGCAAAAGAACAACCGGCTGCTGCCCACTGCAGCACCGGACCGCTGCCGATGCACCAGTTCGGGCGCCTCTGTGAGGACTCCCAGAAGTTCACATATTTGTTTTGAAATGAAAAATAATAAACATAAAACTAGGAAGTTTAAATAAACAAAAACTGAACTTATTTTACTCTAAATTGAGACAAATGGCTGCTGCTGCTTCGTGCTGCGGCAAGTGAGACCTGCAGCGTCGTGTCCGTCGGTCGATTGTTGCAAGTGTGTACAGACAGCAGACTTCAACGAAAGCAGCTTCTTTTTCTGTAAACAAAAATTAAAATAAAATATTTTCATTATTACCCTTGAATTGGCAATTTGGTGTAGATAGGCCAGCAAATTCCGTGGCTAGTTCGGGGCTGCGGAGCGCAACCAGCAGCAGCAGCAGCAGCAGCAGCAGGAGCGATGCCGTGCCGGTGTGTAATCGTAGCCTCCTACGATTCCACATTTATCTTCCGTTTTCAAATTCCAATTATTATTTCTTTCAAGTGTTGCTACACCTCAAACAGCAGCTGCTTTCCCTCTCAGTCTCGGCTTGCTGCAGCTGCCTGCCTCCAGCTGCTTCCAGCGCCGTCGATTCTTCTCTGGTTTTATCCTCCGTCTTCCCTTTTCCAGTTTTTACCCCCTTGTCTTTTCCCCTTTTTTTGAGTTAGCAGAGCAGGCCTCAGCCAAGCCACTCTAGCAGCAAACAGCTCCAGCAGCAGCAGCAGCAGCAAGGGCACTGCCATCAACGCCAGCGAGACCCCCAAGCTATGCGCCCGCAGCAGCCGACGCCTCTGAGGGCTTCAGCTTCCTTTCTCTTCACAAAGGGAGACTGACGGGTCCAACAAAAGCTCCCCAACAGCAGCAGCAGCAGCAGCAGCGGGGACGAAGCCAGCAGCCTCACCAGCCAGCTTCGCAGCAGCGCAGGCTTTCTGTCCGAACTTCATCAACAGTTTCATTATCTCAGTTTCCTTTCTTTGATTTCCGTCTTCTAGTTTTCCTCGGTAGCGGTGCCAGCAGCAGCAGCAGCAGCAACAAGCCGCAACAGCTGCAGTAACAGCTCATCCGTTTTTTCTTACCGGCTTTTCAGCACCAGATGCATTCCTTCTCCAAACCACTCATTTCCCCTGAACAATAGTACCAATAGTAGTATCAGCAACAGCAGCAGCAGCAACAACAACAATAGCAGCAGCAGCAGCAGCAACAGCAGCAGGAGCACTTCCGCATTTCCCGCTTTCTTCCGACCCAGCGCGAACGCGAGAAGCACGTTGCAGCAGAAAGTCTGCAGCGGCAGCAGCAGCAGCGCCAGCGCAGCAGAGTCCCATCACCCTCCCCCCGCGCAGCAGCAGCAGCAGCAGCAGCAGCAGCAGCAGCAGCAAGATGCAGCCGTCTCCGTCTGCGGCGTCGCGGGTGCCCCCCGGGTTCGCCCGGCCGCTGACTGTGGGCGAAATTCCCCTGATGGCTGGCAGCAGCCACAACAAACATCCTGAGGCTCCTCGGAAGTCGAAAGCAACATATACAATGCTGCTGCCGAGCAGCAGCAGCAGCAGCGCAGCAGCAGGGCTGCGGGGTTACCACGGGCTGCGCTTCCTGCGCCTGAAGCGGCTCTACAGCCGCCAGCTGCTGCAGCGCTACTGCCTGCTGCTGTCCGTGGCAGCAGTGGGGCTGCTGCTGCTGCTATGGCGGCAGGTGACCCTGCCTCTGCTGCAGCAGCTGCAGCAGCTGCGCCACCAGGGGCCCCTCTTCACCTCCCCCGAAGACAGGGCCCGCTGTGAGGCCCTTCAGGGGGCCCCCCGGGTGTACGTACAGGGGGCCCTGGTGAGTCTGGCGAGTGCGGGGCGGCGGGAGCTGCTGCAGGACCTGTGGGGCGCGCAGCGGCGGCGAGGCGCAGCAGCAGCAGCAGCAGCAGCAGCAGCGCCGCTGACGCTGCAGCAGCACGACGGGCTGATGGCCTTCTTCGAAAGCCTCGCGAAGGCCCTGCAGCTGAAGCGGGTCCAGTGGGCCCTGGGGGGCCCCACACTTGTGGGATCTCTCAGCCGCCACAGCTTGCTGCGGGAAGAAAAAGAAATAAATCTTTTAATTTCCGAAAAAGATAAAAAGAAAGTTCGAGAAGCCTGCAGCATCTTCGACCCCAGCAGCGAGCTGCTGCGGCCCCAGGCCTACTTCCCCCAGGCCCTCCTCGCCTGGCTCGCAGCCACCAAGGCCAAACCCAAGGTCCAAACCCTAAACCCTCAACCCTAAACCCTAAACCCTGAACTCTAAACCCTAAACTCTAGGCGCTGCGCGCGGGGCAGAGCACAGAGGGGCGAGGTGAAGAACCGAGCAGTTGAGCTGCTGCAGTCAAACGCTGGACTCTAGGGTTTAGAATCCAGAGTCTAGGGTTTATGGTTTAGGGTTTAGGGTTTAGGGTTCACGCTGGGGGGTTGCAGGCTTTGGCCTATCATTCAGGGCCCAGAATGCAGGGACAAGGGTTTAGGGCTTGTGATGCAGCGTTTGGGCTTCAGGGTTTAGGGTCTAGGGTTTAAGGCTTTTGTCTTGGGGTTTAGGCTTATGGGCTCGAATTGAGTGTGCATGGCTGAGGGTTTAGGGTGTAGGGTTTAGGGTTTAGGGTTCAGGGTTTAGGGTTTAGGGTTTAGGGTTTAGGGTTTGGGGTTTGGGCGCGCAGTTTGAAGAGCAGGCGGTGAACTCCCCCTACGGGTTGATAACTCTGGACACTTCTGCTGCTGCTGATCATTTGTCTTTTCCTGAACTTCGAGTTCGGATTTATTGGTTTAAAGAAGTTCGAGAAAAGCCCCCTGGAGCTGCTGCAGACTGGGAGCCTTATGCGGAGATAACAGCAGCGCCAGCAGCAGCAGCAGCAGCAGCAGCGGGAGCAGCAGCAGCAAGGCCCACTGTCCCGCTGCAGCAGCTGCTGCCATTCGTTGACAGGCCTCTCGGTCTGCTTTCTGTGCCAGCCCCCAAAAACCCTTTGTTTTACCTCAACAGGTTTTACAACAGTTCAGATCCTTTTTGTGCTGCGCTGCAGCAGCAGCAGGAAGAAGCTGCTGCTGCTGCTGGTGCTGCAGCTGCAGCACCAGGGGCCGCCGGCGGCGCCGCCGACAGCGCCGCCAGCAACAGCTGGGGCTTCCTTTCCTACCTGCGGCTGCCCTTCAACCAGTGCAGCAGCAGCAGCAGCAGCAGCAGCAGCGGGACCTCAAAACCTACTGTTAGGCTTTCTCCAATTTCTGAAAACTGCCTCAAAGAGTCTTTCTATTTCGGCGGGGAGCTGCAGCTCGAAGTCTACACGAGGTGTACGTACACCCCAGCCCCGGGATTCGCCACCTGGGTTCCCACCATCTGGAGACGCTGATCGGCCAGCATCCTTGTTGCTGCAGCAGCTGCTGCAGCTGCTGTAGCAGGTGCTGCAGCTGCTGCTGCCGCAGCTGGTGCTGCATCGATGCTGAAGCAGGTGCAGCAGCAGTCGCTGCAGCAGCTGCTGCAGCATGGCTGCTGCAGCAGCCGCACAATCGTTGCCGCAGCAGCCAAAGAATGAGCTGCTGCTACAAAGGAAGTGCTGCAGCAGCAGTTGTCGCAGCAGGAGCTGCTCGAGAGGCTGTGGAATGTTTTATATCAAGAAAGCCGCAAATGCGGCAGCAGATTCAGGAGCAGGAACGGGGCAGGCGCCAGCAAACAAAGGGTTGTTCGTTTTGCTGCTGCTGCTGCTGCAGCAGCAGCATTGGCGGCCTTCTTGCCTATTGGTGCCGTTGCAGTTGCAGCGCTGCTACCAGCTGGTGGGTGGCTGCACAGGAGGAGCTGCTGCTGCTCTCAGTTTGTTCCTTGCTGCACTCCTTGCGGAGCTGCAGCAGCGTCAGTGAGGACAATTACAGCGGCACAAAAGCCGCAGCAGCAGCAGCAGCAACAGCAGCACGGTGGCGTGTTTGTGACAATGAAGGAGCAGAAGCAGCAGCTTCTTTGTTTTATTCATGAGGGCAAATGTGCATGTGCTGCGCTCTGCGTGTTCTGCTGCTGCAGTGTACGTACACAGTGTAGCCATCCAGCAGCAGGTGTCTAAACCCTAAACCCTAAACTCTAAACCCTGAAGGCCCTTCTTTGGTGCAGTTCGCGGTGCCGTTCTCGGGTGTACGTACACCCGGTGGTTTTAGAACAAACAGCTCTATACTCAAGTTACAGAGAGGACGAGAAGACGCAGACGAGGATTTAGGGTTCACAGCCTGTTGGGGCCGAGGGTTTAGGGTTTAGGGTTTCCAGAGAGGCGCGTAGGGTTTAGGATTTAGGGCCTAGCGTTGGAATAGAGTTGCTAGCCCTTAGGGTTTAGGGTTTAGTACACTATACAGCAGCAACACCTCAAGCACCGCAGCAGCAAAGCTGCTTTGAGGCTGCTCCAGACTACTGCTGCCTTTGAAGCAGCAGTCTAGTGCGGCGGTCTGCCTCTCATTCACTAGTTACTGCGGAGTGCTGCTGCTGCAGCAGCAGCAGCAACAGCTGCAGCAGCAGCAAAAGTTGTGCTTTCGCCACACTTGGATGTGTTTGAAGCTGAGGCTTGCCCACAATGCCCACAGGCCATTTCAGCGGCAGTGCAGCAGCCAAAATAACAGCAATGAGGCCTCCGATCCTGTTTGCTGCCTCAAGCTTTCTTGCTGCAGCAGCAGCAGCTGCAGAGCCGAGGTGAAGACACCGTCTAGTCACCTCGCCTGGCTGTCGTTGCTGCTGCTGCTGCTGCTTCGGCTGACCAGTGGTCCGCGTTCTGTGGCCTGTCTTCTTCTCCCTATTTAAACTGCGTGTCTGTAGCAGCAGCAACTCCGCGGAGCTGTCTATACAGTGTGCGGTTTCTCGCCACAGCAGCAGCAGCAGCAGCAGCAGCAGCAGCAGCTTGGGCTGGTCGCAGCCGTGCTGGAGCCGTCGCAGCAACTCCAGCGGCTTCTGCGTGGAAGTTCATAATTGAAATTAAAAAGAATAAAGTTTCAGTTCTGCGGAGGGAGAAGGCAGCCAAAAGTGCTGCTGGTGCTGCTGCTGCTGCGGGTCTGTGCTGCTGCAGCAGGAGCCACCACGCCTGAGCTGGTATGTCTTGCAGCTTCCCTGTATTTCGCAGCCGCATTTCCGTTTAATCCTTATTACATTTATTGTTTTTCATTTATTAAACTCTCGTTTCAGTTGTTACGGCGGGGGCTCCTGGGTAGCGCCTCGCCGCTGCCTAGCTCCATCACCAACCGCTGGCAACTGCCGCCTAGGGTTTAGGGTTTAGGGTTTAGGGTTTCGTTCTCGGGACCCCTTCAGGCTTAAGAATTGGATTTCGCCGCGTTTATTCTTCGCGGGGCCTCCTCTGCCAGCATTTCCGCAGCAGCAGCAGCTCCGGCAGCAGCAACGCCACACATCAGCCGACAGCTGCAGCAGCAGCAGCAGCAGCCCATGGCAACCCATGAACCCACGTGGAAGGCTGCTGCAAGGGGGCCCCCTGAGGCCCCTCCTCCCTCCCCTGTGACCGGCCTGGACCCCAAGAAGGAAGCAGCAGTGCGGCTGCTG